CCCAACGTGCTGTGTTGTCATCGCTGTCTCAAGTGGTATTGTACCTCCCTCCTCAAGGTTTTTACCTAATAGACCTGGGGGCGGTTTCAGCACCTTCACGACTGGGCAAGAACCATCTCCACGCGGTGGCGACAATTCTTCTGGAGACTGAAGTTTCAGCGGGGTCACATCGCGTTCTTCGGTGGCGAGCAGCACAGGAAACATTTCCTCCTTGGCAGCCAGAGGCACGGCAGCGGGCATTGCACCATGGGCGCCGTGCAATTGGTCCCGGCCATCGTACAGCTTCCACATCTCAGCAAAGTCACACTGGGCAAGGCGCTTATCCACGTCACTCTTACGCAGCGAAGGAAGGTAGCGGAGACTAAACGTGGCAAACAAGCTGCCCAGAGTAAATTCCACATCGACGACGGAGCCACGAGGCACGCCCACCGCGCCACAGACGTCAGTGTCCAGCGCCTCGCACAGCGCAGCACGGTTCCGCTCCAGCAGAACAGCCCAGTCGTCGCCGTTAAACTGCACACGGTGAATCGTCACCGCGAAGTCCCCAACGTGCCGTGTTGTCATTACAGTCTCAGGTGCTGTTGCAGATTCGTCGGCGGGGCGTTCACCCATTAGACCTTTCCGCAGCGTGCAAATTTTGACCGTGGCTTTTGATGCGCGTTTCTGGGAAACGCGTGGGCCCGTGAAAGGTTGGCGAGCTGTGTTGAGACCCATTAGCTTGAAAGGACACCCTTGGTTTTGAGCTTCTTCTTGGTCTGGGTTTACCATTGTTAAATTTCTTTATTAATATGTCCCGTTTTTCGTTGTATAATTTCCAGACGTGCGGGTAGTCGTGTTCTTCTAGCTTTTGATTTATTTTTGGATCCTTCTCGTTGTTGTCGTGAGTCGCCGTAGACAACGCAATTAGTTTCCCACCCTCAAGGGATAGTTGTGTTTTTAATTTTCCAGTAAGACCCGTGACCTCAGCAATGTCACGTTCTATTGCCCTTTGAAGTTCGTCTCTGTGGTCTTGTAGAATAGTACCCCATAATTCTCCTCTGAAGCTTTTGATGCGGGATGAGGAAGTACTAGAGGGCAGGCTTTGTTGAGCAAGGAGTTGGGTGTTAGAAATTTCTTCTATCGTATGATGCGTCGTGGTGCCGTGACTACTTTCCGTTTTCCTTTTACTTTCCATCGATTGACTGTCTGTAAAATTTTGTTTAATTTCCTCGTGTGATACTGTGGATGGTAACAGTCTGTCTGCCTTAATTAATTGAGGTATTCCATGTTTTCCCCCCTCTTTACGGTATATTGCCCAGACTTCTGTGTAGTCGTTTGTGATGAGGGCGTGATTTATACCTTTTCCCGAAAAGGATAAGGAGTGTCGAATTGAAAAATGCGCCACAAGTGATCCGATTGAGAAAATAATTCCAAAAACATCTTCTTCGGGGAGTCCTAATGCCTTTGCAGTCGAACTGCGAAAGGCGGCATAAAGCTCGTCATAACATTTTTCCAGAACAACATTCCATGCACTTCCTTGGAACTCAACTTTATGATGGGTTGTTACAAAGCCATCGCTAGAGCCCACAATGTCGTCTACGTCAAGATCCTCCATTTGTACCAATTCCTCAGAATTGAGAGTAGTAGCCCCTGTTGAGGTTTCCTCGCCTGCTTTAATGGTGATCTCCCTTCTAGAGACGTCAAACAAGTCTCCCCTTTCATCTCCCCTTAACGCACCATCGCGTACACGTCCTGTCCCACCTTCAGAACCATTCATCCTTGCCAGCGCCTACCAATTTTTAGGTAAAAAGCAAAACTATGTGTAACGCCTTTTATGATTGTTGTACACGGAAGGCGACTTTGTGTGTTTTTATGTATGTATGTGTGCGCGTATGTACGGATTTTATTTGGCGCCTTGTGCAGCGAAAAAAAAAAAGTCAACTCCAGAGAGGTGGAACTAAAAAAAAAAGTAAACACACACTAAAAAAAATACACTATAAATCCCACCTCCACTTCTAGAGGAATATATGTGTATAAGCAAAGAAGAGAGGGGGAAAAAAGGTAATATGAAACGTGGGAAAGAATTCAACACCAGTCTCATATACATCTATAGGTGTTTTTATTGTTATTACTATTACGTATATATTAACCGGACCAATATGCTGAGCAGCTACTCAAGCCTCTCGCGCTTCCTCATTAACATTTCACATCCTGCATTTTCGTTCTTTGAAATCTCAGAAATGGTGTGCGCAGAGATTCTTTCAAGTTCCATGGCAGTAAGTAGCTCCTTTCCAAAAATATCATTGCCGAAATGAGGCAGGTCAATGACCCACGGAATATCATCTGTATTAAGCTGAGATTCACATGTATTACCCTTCCCCTCCCGCATTTGAACCGTACTTGCGTACGGTTCTAGATGAAGAGGGTCATATGGCAAAAACAAGGCCGGACCTCTTTCAATGCTTTGCTTCTCTCCGGGGTCAATGTGAACTTTCACCAGACCATCATCCTCGACTAAAGAGGGGATAGGTATTGGCTTAGAAGGTGTAACACTAAAAGGTATCCCTTCCAGAAATTGTATAAAGGAATTCTTTCCATATACAACCCCAAATTCATAGGATCTAATTGCCAATTGAGTTTCTTTTTTTTGCCATTCGCCCCACGCAGCACGAGATAGATTAGCACTAGTCAAAATAAACCATTTGATCCCATCTCTTTTCTCTGTTAGACGCATGTATGTTTTTATGTGTGGTAATGCTCTTCTCCTGAGAATAACTTTTGAACAAGACCCTTCGTTACTTTGTCCCCAGCGATGCAAACGTTGGTTAATATAGGTATGACAAGAGCTCAACCGCAAAGGTAGCGCAAGCCCGCCACGCCATCCCTCTAAGCTTTCTTTCACCTCAGCCTCGGTTGGGTACACAATTTGAACTTCGTGACACAAAGGATTCTTATTCGCATCTTCACTGTCCTCTCCCTCTGACAGCATCGCCTTTTCCAACGCATTTAGAAAGGAATCTGTCAACTTTCCTTGGGAACTAAACTGCCATACTAGTGACGCCACATGCCTGTTATTACTTGATGCGACACCTATAGCCTGTAGCACCCTCGGTATTCGTCCCAATCCGTAAGCGTTTCTATCCGAATATCTATGATACCCTGGAATAGACGTTATGATTTCCACATTGACAGAACTGAAATCGATTTCATCAAATATAGTAATTGGAATAGCAACTTTATTACTTAGGTTAGAAAATATACCATAGTAGTTTAGGTATCCCAGCAGCTCATTTTTAAATCTATTTCCCCTATCTTCTGTTCCATCAGAAAATGTTGTATTTGTACGCGTGTCTTTCAGTGAAGTAGAATATCTTGGAAAGTCCTGCACATATATTCCTTGTGTTTTGTATGCCCAATCCTCGTGTATAAAATTTGCGGTAAATACTGCAACTCGAATACCTTTTGCATTCACACATACAGCGAGTTTGCTATGATGTACACCAAAAGGAAGCGGTAATTTGGCCTCTACAATTCTAATTTTATCGGCGTTTATCCTCCTAAAAAGAGAGGACGATTGAACTTTTTTTGCATACCCCTTCTCACCCGATATGATACAAAGTAGCCGCTTCGTTTGTGCCAATGATGGCGCTACCTCAAGAAGCCAGTCGGTATCTACCATGTAGTTGGCCAAAATAAGGTAACTCCAGACTTCTTCCTGGTCATTCACGTCACAGTACAGTAAATCGCTCAACGTCAAGGCCGCGGGATTGTTGTCGGAAAGCCCTTCCACTCTATTAACCCAAAAGGACATAACAAGTTCCTCATGCTAAAAGTTACGACAGGATCCTTTTTACTAACTTCATAAAAGAAACCAAGCGCAGCCTAATTAGTTTTTT